AGTTATAAGAGAGTAAGACAATTATTTCACTATTTTTTTAATCATTTATAAATTTATAAATAAAATATTTTAAATCACAAATTATAAAAAAATTGAAATGTTGTTTAGAATAATTTTTAACATATGCAGCATTACATAACTTTCTTCGTAAAGAATGTCATTATAATAAATTTTCAATTGAAGTGGTGAACGAACCTTCATCTTCAACATTACCGATTAATGAAAATCAAATTATAATTTTGAACCTATTATTAAAACTCAAGAGCAAGAGCGAAAATATGTTAATGCTTAGAGGACTAGTATAACTATGAATATGTGATTGAATGCTTTTTAGAAGGACATGATAGTACAGAGAATAATAATAATTATTATTTATCTAGACATTATTTTTTTTAATTATTTTTATCTTTGACTCTTTAAATTTGAATATATGAAAAAAAAATTAAACTTTTATCGTATGTCAAAAATCTACGACATTCTGCAAAGTTCACAAAGTCTCACAGAATTCATTAAAATCCTAACTTAAAAGTCTTGCAAAATACATTAAAATCCTAATTGAAAGTCTTGCAAAATCCTACAAATTTTAAAAATTATTAAAATCCTGCAAAGTCTTTTAAAATTTACAAGACTTTTTTTAATTAAAAAAAATTCTTTAAAATTCTAATATAATACACCCCATTAATTTAACTAGTAAATGTTGATTCAGCTCACTCTACCTAAGATTCGAATAATTGTTCTTTTCATAGAAGATTGCCTGGTGGCAATGTGGCATGTACTTGTTCTGATTTTACCTAATAATAACAAAAATGGTCTATGTCCACAAAATAAAATATCAGTGCACCTACCAGTCTTGGTGCACAGCCCAATCCATGACCATATCTAACACCATATATGACGTGAGTGTTTGATTTTACATTGAATTTTTTAAATTAGGTTAAAATATTAGTTATATGGTTTTAGATAAAATATTTATAAAAAAAAATTGGTTGGTTTCACAATAAAGAATTGAATTTGGGTTTAAGTAAATTCTGCGTTTGATAAAGTTTTATACTATGTTTTATTATTAACTTTCTTATACAAGAAAAACATCCGAATATAAATCCCATTAATTTGATATTTAGTTTTACAAAATTATTTTCATTTAAAATCTTAGTATGTTCGGATTGGCTTCATAGTAAGAAACAATCAATTATTTTTCACGTTGGGGGAAAAATAACAAATAGTTACTTCTACCATTTTTTAAGGTATTATTGCAATTTTACTTCAATGTTACTAAACTTTGTCAATCAAAATGGACTTTTGACTGGGTTAGATTTAACAAATTAAATTTAATGTATTTTAAGAATGAGATCTTTCAAGTCGTTTCAATTTTGTCATTTAATAAATTTTAAATAATTACTTTAATAATATGATTTTTTGACTTAATAAATAATATTTTATCTAACGTAATATTATAATTATATTAATATTATTTATCTTAATATATGGTGTAAAATATACGTTAACTATAGTTATATATTTAAAATTAATATATTATACTACTAAATTAGATTTTCAGTCCTTTAAAGTATCTCCAACGTAACGAAAAGATTAATCATTACTACCAACGATGAATACTTCATGAACGAATAAAAAAAACCAAATTCTCAATTTCTTTCTATATTTATGGAGTTTTAATAGGATCAATATCATATTCATAAAACAAATATATGAAACTTTTGAATCCGACAAACACACAAGTAAACTAATAGAGGGTTTTAAAGTTGAAAGACACAAATTTAAAAGGCGGGAACAGACCCTACCAAAAGTTACGATGAAAGATGAAAAGAGAACTGCGCGGCAAAGAGTAAACAAGACAAAATCAAGAAGCCAAAGACAAATTCAATACCACTTCACAATATTACCCTCTTCCCAATACTATATTATTTAATATCTTTCATTCATTATTCTTTTACAAGAAAGTTAATTCAAATACGCACATTATTTTTTATTTATGTCCAAATCATTGTCTTAATCTCCAGATATTTGGCATCATTTTGGGCTATAATTGAGTAATCATTCAGTGTAAAATGGACGGATCCACCGCCAAAAAAAATAATAACAATTATTAAGTAATTGACAATGGGACGAAAAGTATACTATAAAATGATAAAAATTTGACTTAAATATGTTTATGATTCTCGCAATAAGGATTGAACCTAGATCGTCATACTTCTAACTATTTTAATCCCTTCTCGCTCAATTACTAAGTTAACTCTAATGATTTAATTCGTTTTAATTATTATAAAATAATTCATCGGTTTTAGATTTATGACATTTTTTATATATTTTATTTTAGTTATTATTCTTAACTCTATTTAGTTTAATGATAATATGATAAATAAATGAAGAATATTATTTTAATTAAAAATATTTTTTACTAATTTAATTATTTTAATACTTGACTATTTGGTTTAGATCCCACAGATTAGTAAGTGGGATTAACAACTTTCTCTCTTAAAGAAAATCTAGTACAACCTTTCTAGAAAATAAAAAAAAATTGTATTAAAATTAGAAGAAAAAAGAGTATTGAAACTAATAAGCATACCAAAAATCCACAATGATGTAAGCTATTTGAACGGGATTATGGGCGGAAATGATGCAATGATATGCATTGAGTGCTATTAAATTAAATTTTATCCGTTAAATAATTATCTTTTTAAATAATGATAAAAAAAATTATATATATATATATATATATATATATATTTTAAATATACGTTTTAAAATATTAGTGATCAATTAAATCAGCAAAAATACTCTATTTAAAAAAGTGATTACGTTTGACTATATTACTTCATCATTTTATTAATGCGTTTTGCTATTTTAAATTAGCAAAAATACTCAGAAATAATTATCAAAATAAAATAATCATGTTCCAAATTTTTAAAATAAAAACTAAAATATTTCTCTAAAATTACCAATAAAAAAAATTCAATCTTTTATGATTTTTTTAATTTTATTTTTATCTTATTTTCTTTTTTATAAATATTTATTAATAAATTTATTTAAAATGCGTCTTTTATACAAGCTTAGGTGGACAAATACTGATTTTAGTTACATCAAGAGTATCAAATATTGATTTTAGTTCGATTGATTCAATAAGGTAAATGAATATTATAAATTTGCTGAGTCTTTATCTAACAAGTAATCGTATTTTTATTTGTTTATTTTTTTCAATTTTTATTGTTGATTATTTAGAATACTTCAAATGAAATATCGTAAATATTTATAATTTTTTATAAGATTATTTTCTTTTACTCTAGTTTTTGTGTGAGTGTAAATGGGTATGCATAACAACATAAGTTACTCCTTAGTTAATTTTTTATTTATTTATATTTTTATTCCATAATTTAAATTTGAATAATAATAGAGTAAACTATTTTTTAACATGCAAATTAAATTAAAAGTCTTATACATGTATTTAAAAATATAATCACTGATTTATTTAAAATTAAATTTATTGGTCTATCTAATATTTTTAATCCAAAATAGATTTTTAAGACTAATAGGACAAACCAATCGTTTTAAAATGTTATATTAGACCTATAAAAAAATTTATAATAAATAATAAGTCAAACTTAAAACTTTAATTTTATAGAATAAACTTGATTTGTATATTCAAAGTTTGTCATGTTTAACCTATTATCATCCCTATTTATTAGGAACAAAAAATAACTAAAATCATACTAAAAATATAATAAATAAACTAACCAATGTAAGACAAAAATTGATAACAAATGAGAAACTATGAACAATGGGTTCAAAATATAAATTTAGAACGAAAAAAAAAATTCATAATTCAAGACACATATATGTATTATCCTTAAGTCAGGATGTGTAAATGCACCCCTCAAATATATGTAGGTTCATCACTACAACTTAACTTAATTGACTCAATCTTTTTTAGGTGTAAAAGTAAATAATCTAATTTAACATGACCTAATTGACCAATAAACTAACCTATCAATTTTGATAATTTTATCGGTTAATAAATAATATAAATTTGAACAATACACTTGAATAAGAAATTTTAGTTAGAGAACTTAAAGTTAGAATCAATTATTTATTAAAAAGATTGTATTAAATTTATTTTTTCTTATTTATACCTTATTATTTATGTTACTTTTTATTAATTGTATTATTTTTTAAAAATTCATATTATCTTTTGAAATTTTATAAAATCTTTTAAAATCTTATAAATTTATGTTATATAAATTTACTAAAATTTATATTACAAAATCTTGATTATAAAAATTTAAAAAAAAATCTTTTTAAAATATCTTAAAAGTTATTACATGCCTAAGATTTTTTTCCATTCTAAAATAGTTTTATAAAATTTGAATCTAATACAACCCTTTAATATTTGTGCTCGACATTTATAAATAAGATAAAATTAAATAAGACTTTTCTATTTATTGATTAAAAATATTAACATTATAAATTACGAGTAAAAATAGTTAAATAGTAGTAAAATTTGTAAAATTTATAGTTTTTAATCATTTAATATGGTGTAAAAAAATACTTCATTTAATAATAAAAAATACATTAACAAATTATTTTAGTTTTTAAAATATAGTACATTGTTAAGATTTATCTTTGTCAAACCTCATGCATGATTAAAAAAAAAAAAGTAAATCAAAGCTCTTAAATGATAGTAATAATGTAAGCTTTTTTTGTCCATAAATTTCTCATTCACCGAAAAAAAGAAAATGGTCAAAGCCCTTAAATGGTATTAATGATTAGTTAATTTAGGCTTTGAATAAATTTCTCATTCGTCAAAAAAAAAATAAAAAAACACAACGGTCAAGCTTGAAAAGTTGTAATGATTAATTTTGTTTTTTGAAAAAGTTGAGGGCATTTTCGGAAGCATATTTTCTGAATCATGTGGGGCCCACAATGAGGGATAGCGGCGGAATTTTAAAGAACAATTTTGAATATTGATCTCACTGTTTCTTCTTCTTCTTAACAGCTCTTTTCCATTTCCCATTAAAGTTTCAACAGCTGCGCAATCTCAGCATCTTCTTTAAGCTAAGCTGCGTTTTCTCGCTCCAATTTTCAACCTTTTTCTTCTCCACTAATGTAATTCTCATCATTTTTTTTTTCTTGGTGTAACTGAATGAGTGAATGTACATTATTATTATTTATTTATTTTATCAATAAGGGAAAAAAATCTGAGCTTACCCTTCTCTCAAATGCCCCAAAAGATTCTGTTTTTTTATTTTTTATTTTATTTTATGTTTAATGGCTGAAGATTCAGTGTTATGGAAGGGTGCAATAGGGTTTCAAGCCAGTACTTTTTTTTCACCCATCTAGTTTTTTTTTTTTTTTTTTTTTTTTTGTATAGAAAAGTTATGAACTTTAACAGTTATGGTAGTGAAATTATGGAATGCAAAAAATGAGATGTCTTGTTGTAATGCTCTTGAAATATTTGCACTTGGATTTTTTTATTTCACTTTGTTGTAGTTGCTGATGGTGGTGTGTGTTTGGTTGTAGTTCAAGAAATGGGAAGGAGTCTCAGCCCTTTGGTGAGGCAAGAGCTGGCAAATCTTGACAAAGATGAAGATAGTCGCAAATCTGCCATGAAAGCATTGAAGTCCTATGTGAAAGATTTGGATTTCAAGGCCATTCCTGTTTTTCTTGCAAAAGTGTCTGAGAGCAAGGAAAATTGTTCTGGGGAATTCACAATTTCAATCTATGAAGTTCTTGCGCGGGTTCATGGTGTCAAAATTGTTCCTTTGATAGACAGCATCATGGGAACCATAGTCAGGACTCTGGCTTCAAGCGCAGGGTCTTTCCCTCTTCAACAGGCTTGCTCAAAGGTGGTTCCTGCAATTGCAAGACATGGAATTGACCCCTTAACCCCAGAAGATAAAAAGAGGGATATAATTCGGTCCCTTTGCATGCCTCTTTCAAATTCTCTCTCAAGTTCTCAAGAGAGTCTTACTTCTGGTGCTGCCCTTTGCTTGAAGGCTTTGGTGGATTCAGATAACTGGAGATTTGCTTCTGATGAATTGGTTAATAGGGTTTGCCAGAATATTGCAGTGGCATTAGATGGAAAGTCTGGTCAAACCAACTCACACATAGGTCTGGTTATGTCGCTGGCCAAGCGCAATGCTTTGATCATTGAAGCATATGCAAGGTTGCTCATACAATCTGGACTAAGAATACTGAATGCTGGCCTTGTGGAGGGGAATTCTCAGAAGCGGCTTTCTTCCATTCAGATGATCAACTTCTTGATGAAAAGTTTGGACTCTAGGAGCATATTCTCAGAGCTTGAATTGATAATTGAGGAGATGGACAAGTGTCAATCTGATAAAATGGCATTTGTTCAAGGTGCAGCACTTGAGGCTTTGCAAACTGCCAAGAGAATTGTTAGTGACAAAAAGCCTAGATATGCAAAAAGTCCTGCATCGGTGACAGGGTCAAATTTTAGTAGGAGAGATGGAGACTTTATGGAGGGAGAGAATAGTTCTGGTGATGGAGACCGCACTCCTAGTTCTCTTTCACCAGAATCACGTACTTTGGACTTTTTCCCTGGATATGAATCCGTTGTTGAGTCTCCTATTTCAAGCAACTTAGACTATGAACGAAGAAGTGTGACTAGGAAGCTTTGGAGTAATGAAAATGGAGGGGTCGATGTGTCTCTCAAGGATGGTTTGTTTTCAGAAGTAGGAAAAGCAAGTGCTTTGTTGGAAAATTCATTGATTCACGAGTTTTCTGATGGTCAGGGAGATTCTACAGAGGAGTTTGCTGGTTTCATGGCCAGAAATCCCAGGCATGTAGTATCCAGAAGTACTACCACAAGTCCACTGGTAAGTTTCGCTTACATTTGTCATATTCCAATGAAAGCATCCTGTATATCTAAGCCATTTTCCGTAGTCATTTTGTTTCCTTCCTTGTCAACAATAAATGGTTGAATGTTGTATTCCTCTAGTCACACATTAGAGGAAAATTAATATGACATGATGACAGAACTTACCAATTCCCAATAGGACCATGTAGTATGAAGCTTTTTCATTCATTCGCAATCACCTTAACCACCTGAACTGTACTTTGCCACATTATGTACTTTTTCTGTCTATTGTTCAAGTCTCCACTAGTTTCTGGCGTCCATATTTTATTTATGATTTATTATTCATGCATGCTGGGTGTTTACATGTAAATATATACATACACACATGTTATTCTTATACTCTTGTTACACATCCTCATTAAGCAGAGTAGATTCTCTTTTATATCATGAATTATTGCACAGTATTTCTTCTGCTGTTAACTGGTTTTTTTTTCTTTCTATGGTTAACGCAGTCTCCGCTTACATTAAGTAAGGATATTTAAATACTCTGATTTACCATGCATGTGTTTAGAAATGCTTAAACTTTTTTATGCCCTCAAAAGTATTGATGAATACAATGTTTCCAATATGTGAGGAATAATAGTGAGGTTGTAAATAATGTTTCTATACTGAGAATGAAAACACTTGAAACCAATAGTGCATAATATTTCCTTTTTATGTGCCATACACCCAACTAGAGTTTCTCCAAATGCATACATAAGTAACATGAGTTGAAGCTTTGTGCAAACTTACTTTTAACATGCTTTAAAAGATGTGTTTAGACTTGTGTATCTCAGTGCAGTACTTCAAATCATGCTTTTGCCTTTATTAATTTCCATAGCTGCAATGTTTCTTGTTTACTCATGGAATTAGCATATTGTGTTTTTGTTCTTAACCAGAGGTTACGCTCAAAGGCAAATGTTGACAGCATAAAAATATTTAACACCCCTAGGAAGCTCATTCACTCTCTTCAAGATTCAAGTGATGTGACTTTGGGTTGCTCTGAGAAACAGAATAGAAGGTTCAGGAGTCTATCCTCAGGTAATATTGAATGGAGTGCAACTTCTAAATATGACCAAAACGGTTTCTCAGATCATGTGAAGTGTGATAGTGAGGTGAATGAAAGTTTATGTGCTGAGGTTGAGTTCCAAGATGGCTCAGAATCAGTCTCATCAACAGATGACCTTCCTGTAGACACCAATATGCCTACCAAAGTGGTTCCTGAAAATAGAAATGTTACACCAACTGCACTACCAAAGATTAAATATAAATTGGTTTGTGGTCTTTCATTTGTTCTGCTTGCATTGGCAACTCCTTTACTTTGGATCAATAGTCAGGATGACGGCCATTATCTTGTCCCAACATAACCATCCTCATTACTTTGTACATCCTTTGAATTAAGTTTAGGTATGCTTTTGTCAAAGTAGTTTTTAATTCCAACTATGTTGGAAAATTCATTGTAGCAGCATATATGGTCTGTGCCATTGAGCATCTTCAATGTGCATTTGTTTTCCTGTAAACACTTTGAGAACTGTTTTATTGAATTTTACTTTCTAAATGACTGAGCTAAGTTTTTTCTTTTAATCATTATGTTATTGGTATAAATTATTAATTGATTTTATCAATGATTAATCTCTATCGAAAAATCAAATCAACTACTTTTTGTGGTATTCCCTCATAACCATATTTTTTTAATATACACAATGTTTGAAACAGATGCTTTATTTAAGAAATCTAAGTGTAGTTCTATTTAGACAAATAATTGTTAATGAGAATGGTTCAGATCGATGATGTTCTATTTGAACTGAAGTTTTGGCAGTTTGGCCACAAATCATAAAGTGTATGTTTGATTGTGCTTCGTAACGTGATTTTCCATATCAATCCGGAAGCAACACATTGTAACTTCAGCAGAAAACATTCACTTGACGTGAAAAAATTAAGATAGACGTGAGTAAATGATGCAAAAGCAAACAAACTAAAAATCCTAGTTCGATTCCCAGGGACTTTTGATAAAAGAAAGTGAAGAATTCTAATTAGATTTAGGGCAACTCCAATGGCAGTTGCTCCTATGACTAGCTCAATAATTAGCAACTCACAAAAATATGCCATTGGAAGGGAGTTTACTGGGATCCATTTATATTTTGAGTTGCTTCATATAGCAACTGTCTCTCTTCTGATATTGTGGGTTAAGTGTGTAAGTATAATAATATAATATTGGGGCTATAATTTATTGTTAAATTATTATGTGATCCAAAAGGTTGATTCCGTTTGGTGAAATAAGCCCTGGTCTCAATTTGCAAAAGTAAAATATTAATGGTTGACCAAAAGGTAGATGATTGATTTTGAAATAAGTCTTGGACTTAATTTGTAAAAGCAAAAATATTAATGGTTGACCAAAAGGCAGGTTGTTTTTTTTTTTTTTTTTAATTAAAGATTAAAGACAATTATATTTAACATCGCAATCTTGAATGAGAGCAAGGTGGCAAATCTAAGATCATAAATTAGTGAGGACAACTTATTTAAGAAAATAAAAAATAATTATTACTATTATCATGAAGGTAAAGGTCTACTATTACTTTTATCTCCTAGCTCATCTCTACTAGAAGATCTCATGTCAAAAAATATGTCGAGTTTTTTATAATAGATCACTGTTCTCTTGTTGTCATCTCTAAAGAACAATATGTCATTGAGATTCCTCAAGAGAGTTTTATGTCTGTCAGTTGGATCGATGTCAATTGCCAAAATTCAAGCTTAAGCTCAAACATTTAGAAAATATTTGCTTCTTTTGAGGAGGACAATCAAAGATGATGCCATAGGAATAGGAAACTTGTCATATTTTAGAAAGTGATTAAGTTGCGTATAAATAATAACCAACCTTTTTTTTCCACCGAAGTTTTTCTGATCTCTTTTCAACATAAAAAGCTTGACAAGACCAATTTGATTTTGTGGGTTCAATGAGACCTTGTCTAAGCAATTCACTGCATTTTTTTCTAGCTAATTGAAGATTTGAAGGAGTCATTATTGGATGAGTAGCTTTCATAAGATTGACATCATCATTAAGTTTGAAAGAAAGTTGAATGAAGAAATCTTCATTCTTCCATAAGGGACATGGAGGAGGAGATTTACAAACAACAAACTCCATTACATGACATGATAGTGACATGACATCTACCTAACTATAATGACATGTAATAAAAACATTACACCCAATTATAATGGCACTTTATCGTTACCTGATATGATAAAGACATTCACCTAACTTTTTTCTACGACACCTTATCTTTATATGATACGATAAAGACAGTCACCTAACTTTTTTACGGCACTTGTCTTTATATGATACAATAAAGACATTTACCTAACTTTTCTACGACTTATTATCTATAACACCTTATTGTTAAAACATGATAATGGTAATATGACAATAACTTTAGTGTAGCCTTATCTACACTCCATAATGACAACTTTAATACTTGAGATTCATGCATGCTCTGGAGACATAATTGGTACTTTAGTCTCATATACAAGATGATGATAAGGATATCTAGTTTTATGTATTATCTCTTCCATCAACTCTACATTATAATCATTTGTCATATCTTTAACTTTTTGAATTTCTTCATCTAGAACATAAATTTTTTATGTGGGCTTAAAAAATCTTGTCTCATGTGAAGAGTTAAAAGGAACTATTTGTTAAAATCATAAGAATAGTAGGTTCAAAGACTTAAAATTAGTGGCACAAAATATTATAAAAAAAGAAGATATTTATAAGTAATATTTTCAAATTGAGGAGGTGTACTTAAACACCCTCATTGTTGTATAGGTATGCATCTGAGTGCACTAAAAGCTCGTTAGAAATGATATCATGGATGATGACAATTGCCATTTTTAATCAAGATGAAGGAGAAATATTCAAATTTGAGTATACATGACATTTATTAAAAGATAACCTAAAGGGAATTTCAAGTGGGGTGGAGGTTTTTCAAAAAGAACAAAGATATATTACATCCATTTAAATTTTTTTTTGGCTCTTTTAACTATTTAGTATATTTTTATGTAGTTTTTTTTAAATTATACTCTTATAGGTAGTTGTGTAATTAAGACTATTTTAAGTGAAACCTTAATGTTATTTTTTAGTGGAGAGGTAATAAATGAGGATAATTTAGTCTACATATTTATAAATATTTCTTAAATGTATGTAAAATACTAAAAGAACCAAAGTTTAGAAATGGAAAGAGTATGCTTTAGGAGTGTACACCTCATCATCTATGTTGGACATGCCAACAAGTTGTAAATTTGACCCAATATCCCTTTTGGCATCTATTGTGAACAAAATGATAAAAAAAAATGGGGGCTAAAACAAAAATATAAAGAAACATCTTCTAACCTTAAAAAGATTAAAGAAATATAAGAGTTGTAAGATCAAATATTGGTTGTTGCATAAGATTACAAACATCATAGGGATAGAGAAATAACTTTGAAGGAGTTTCATATCCTCGTGAACAACACAACTCACATAACAAAGATAGAACTTCACTATCACAAACTTCACTATTGCCTAACATCAAGAAGCAACAACTAAGGATGTAGAGAGAGATTTTGATGTTCTCCAACCACAATTTGCAATTATAGATGGTTCAACATGTTCTTAACGCTTGGTTACATTGAAATAGATAATATATGCATTCTTAATATGATTGTTGAAGATGAGTGAAAATATGATGACAATATTTTTTTTTTCATTTGATCTTCCAAATAATGATGTCTCAACTTGTGAAGTTAATGGTTCTCATTCTAATTGTAAAAAATATTTAGAATGGAGAGTACATTTCTGTAAAAAAAAATAAAAAATACATTATCATCTTCAAACAAATTTGGGATATTGCGTAAATCATATCTATGAAAAAATGTAAACATTTTAGACATAAGAATAACAAAGATCAAACTTTATTTTAATATTATATTATTTTATATTTCTTTATGTATTTTAAAATTTACCATTAATTTTAACTTGCATTATGTTTTATATATTTTAAATTTTAAAGTAATTTTTTTATTTAACTAAAATTTACTATATATTTATTTATTATTTAATAATTGACATTCATTTATATAACATTAACTAAGTTTGATGTCATATCTTTACTAACAAAAGTAATAGTAAATGGATCTTATAAAATAAATTTAGTGACAGATGAATTTTACGTAACAAATTTACTTACATCATTTGTACATAGAAATTAAAATAGGTTTTTTTTTATAAAAAATATAACAATTAAAAAGATTAATTTTAAACTTTAAAAATCATAAACAAATTTACTTTATATTTTAGAGACTAGTTAAGTCAAATTAAAATTAAGATAAATAACAAAATATAGCATAATTAAGTATACTATAGAGTTCATTTGAGAAATTTTAGTGAGTTTTTTTTTATTTAAGAAGAAAATAATTAGATTCTTAAAATAAAAATGATATTATCGTATAGAGAAGTATTAAATATAATAATGACACACGTACAATGGTGTATACAATACTATCTCCATCCTAAATCTTTAGTCTTTTTATCCCAAAATAACTGGTTTTTTTTTTTAGTCTAACTATTATTTTTATCCCTCAATTATATATGTATTTAATAAGTATTTTCTTCATTACTTAAATAAGATTCCACAGAAAAAATTGTAATCAGTAGATATGACTTTTCTAAAGATAACCGACCAGATTTTCCATACTTATCATATAACTTTGACACATTTTAGTACAGTCCATTGTGGGAAAAATGACATAAAAAGTTAGGAAGGGGTAGGGTAACTACAACTCTGTTTGTAAATAAGTTACAAGTAATTTTGAGAAATTTTTATTAAAAATAAAGAATATTTTTTAGAAGATAAATTTTTTAAAATATTTTAAAATTTGTATCCAAACTTTGAATCATTATTAGTTGGAAGGGCAGTAATGTAGAGCCACAAGAACCCAGAATAGAAGCCAAATTCAATCTTGTTCTTGCTCAAATTAACAGGTTTTATCTCATGTGATGCACAAATGTAAAATAAGTATGAGTAGTTTTCATCATTATGGCACCAAAATGTATTTCAAGGGATCCATTGACATGGAAAATCTGCAAGCATTATGTAACTTCTTTTATTGATATAGTATTTGACTATTGGACATAAATAAACAAAATATACATAGTTTTAGGGAAGAACAATAAAAAATAAAAATAAAAAATGGAAGAGAAGAAAGCAAGTGAGAAAAGGAGAGGGAAAGGTTGTAGATGTCATGTCAAATTATCATGCTCAATAACTTGTGCCCCTCTCCATTCTTCTCCAGGATTCACAGTGACAGGCACCAGTAGTGAAGCAGGACCAGTGCAGATGAAATAGTCCTTTCCATACTTCTCTGACAAGGAACCAGGGCTTGATAAATAAATGTCCTCAAAACCCATTCTTATCACCCTGAAGCAAAGCCCACGTCCCTGAAAATCCAACATCAATTATTCACTAAAAGCCTTCACTAAATTTGCTGCATCAGATAAAACATGTTTCACGTCTATCAAATACTGATTTTAATCTCCATAATAATCTAACCTTAAATATAATTAGTCTCTTAAATTTAGAGTAAATTTATTTTTGTTCTTTCAAGTTTAAAATTAATCTTTTTAATTTATATAATTTTAAAAGAATTTATTTTAATTTTTTAGTATCACTGATAGCATAATTGATAGTGAAGGATTGAAAGAGTTTTATAACGTGAATTTAATTTAAAGTGATCTAGTTACTAATAAGAATACTGATGGATAAATTTTGTGTAACAAATTTAATGATACGAGTTTTATTTAACGATTTATTAACAATATTAGACACTAAAATAAGGTTTTTTTTTATATAAATTATAAGACTAAAATAATTAATTTTAAATTTAAAATATTCAAGGAATTAAAAATATATTTAAGTAAAACTTCAATACCTATGTAGTTCTTACATTTTAATAAGAAATAAATATTTCTCCATGAAGAACTAAAATCACATCTTAGATGGAGCACAAACATATTAAATTTTTACAGAGAATAAATTCAAATTTCGGAACAAGTTGACAAAAACATATCTTATCCAAAATTTTCAGATGTTTGATTAAAGGGTGCACTTTGCTAATCATTCTAACCTGGTCAATGGTTTCATACTTGGAAGGTGGTGAGTTATAGAATGGCTTTGATCTATCCTTTGGAGGTGCAGCATAAACTCTACTCATCTTATTCTCAAGTAGTGTAATACTCAAAGCTTGTTTACCCCACGTGCCAGGCTTGGCTTCAGGTTCATTACCAAAGGAAAACCATCTAGGAGGCTCAGATATTACAGCTTCTGATGGAGTCAAGATTTCAAAGGGAGAAGAGAGAGGAGGGTGTGGGATGTATGAGCAGCATCTGAGGCCTTGAACTGCTGTTCCACCTCTTTTCTTAAATCTGAAATGGCTTAGAATAGCATTGGTTAGAGTGGCAGGCTTGGGGCCGATATTCTTAGCTACAACTGCTGTGGCCATGCTCACAGGATAGAGGGTCACAATGTAGGTGATGTCAAAAAATCTGCTAATGCAGCTCAATTCAACCTGCAGGAAAGATAACAGAAGCAAGGAACAAAAGCAAACTACAAGTTTCAGTACTTCAAAGTGCAAAAGAAGACCAAATTCTTGATAAACTTTACCATAAATACTTGTAAAAAAAGTAAAATGAATTGAGTTTCTCGTATAAGCTAAAATCAACTTATAAACTCCAGTTTTTAGAGAAGTTAAAAGCTGGAACCTAATGGGAGCAAGAATTTCTAAGAATATTTGGGCTATTTCCTTTCTGAGCCGAATATCTTGTAGTGGAATATTTGGACTAATTCATTTCTTAGCAGAATAGCTGTTTTCTTGTAATGTTTAATCGATATTTGATCGATTGGGGAAGTTAATGACAAAAAAGATTTGAAGTGTATACTTGGTTTTTATAAATGTTCTAACTTTCTAAGAGCTAAAGTATAATAGTTGATTTTAGCTTAATGCATTTTATCTTCTTATTTTCTTTCTCTTAAAAGAAAAATTATCCAATTACTTAAGGTAAGTGATAGATAATTGAGAAGCACATAAGCAAAGGGGTATAAAAGGGTACCTGGAGAGCATCTATGGCATCAGAGTCAACATCATTTACAGTCCACTCTAGAGTGGAAGGGAGCAACCCTTTGGCTCCAGGTTGGAGTACTTCATTCATGACCAAACCAACCCCACCTTTGGCTTTGTAAGGGCCTGTTCCAGTTGCAGGAATTGTGTATAGAACCTCCTGGAAGCCATCATCTTTCCAATGAACTTTTGGTTTGTATGATGTGACGTGAGCATCAGGTATCCTTAGCCTCAAGGAGCTTCCATTTCTTACTGTCAGCTCAACTATGGGGATGCTGTCAGACTCCAAGAACTTGATGCCTTTTCTGCCAAATTTCTCATTCAGTGCCTCAGCAGTGGGAAGACTGGTTGTGGAGGTGTTGGCTGCTGAGGAGGCCTTTATTAAGTTTAGTTTGGGAAGAGATAAGGAAAGAAAAGAAGCCATGGAGAAGTTGAAATAAGCTCCTTTAACAGCTTCCACACAGACCAGTGATGAGCATGTTGTTGCTAAGGCTCACCCTTAACTGAGCTCAACTGTGTCTTTGGATTTTTATTTTGGATAAAATTGCACTTTTTGTTGGCTTTTTGCTTACTCTAAAATGGGGCTCTATGTTGCCAAGTAAAATCTTGAAAGGGTCAATCCAATAATTTCTAAAAGGACAAGGAGTGCAACTCAGCAGTGCCACAAATCTCCCTTGTTATCCATTTTGTCTTTTTTTTTTTATTCTGCGGGTGTGTTTTCTTTTTCTTTTATTACTTTTTTCTTTGTTTGGCTACTGCTAGGGAA